CCCAGTTAAACCAAGTAAGTCCCAGTTAACCCAGTTAAACCCAGTTAGATCCAGTCATTCCCAGTTAACCCAGTTAAACCAAGTAAGTCCCAGTTAACCCAGTTAAACCCAGTTAGATCCAGTCATTCCCAGTTAACCAAGTCAAACCAAGTAAGTCCCAGTTACCCCAGTTAAACCCAGTTAGATCCAGCCATTCCCAGCAAACCCAGTTAAACCCAGTTAGATCCAGTCATTCCCAGTTAACCCAGTTAAACCCAGTCATTCCCAGTTAACCCAGTAAGTCCCAGTTAACCCAGTTAAACCCAGTCAGTCTAACTGACTGTCTCCCTGTTGCGGAGCCGCAGCAGCTGATTGGCCAGCCCCAGCTTTGGTCCCGCCTCTTTGCAGGTGAGGACTTGTCTTTCGGCTTCCTGGCTCGTCTGACTCCTTATATGGTAAAACTCTCTGCTGAGCTGCTCAACAGGAAATCCTTCATTTGAATGAGAAGCTTGAAAAGCAGAAGTGGCTCTCTGTAGTCACTGACCTCTGACCTCCACCTGTCCAGAGGAGCTGCTGCTGATGAAGCAGCTCATCATTCATATTTCTGACTCTGCAGGGCAGTTCAGAGGATTCTGTGGTTCTAAACCTGAGAATGGTTTTCCACTTCCTGTCTCTCCTCCTGCAGCCGCCAGCAAGTCAGAATCTGGACGACTGAGCAGATTCCCAACCAGCTGCGAGGAAAACCTGAGCCGCTCCTGCCTGCGTCCCGTCACCCTGCAGCTAGTGCTGCCTGCAGCAACATGTTTCTGCCGAGTCGTTAGTCTTTATGTTTGCAGACGTTTCCCACAACTTCCTCATTGTAATTGTTCTGACACAGCAGCAGCCCAGAGGATCAAGAACCCCAGCGCTAATGCTGCACGATGCTACTGCTGCACGATGCTACTGCTGCACAATGCTACTGCTGCACGATGCTAATGCTGCACAATGCTACTGCTGCACGATGCTAATGCTGCACGATGCTACTGCTGCACTATGATACTGCTGAACGATGCTAAGGCTGCACAATGCTACTGCTGCCTGATGCTAATGCTGCATGATGCTAAAGCTACATGCTTCCAGTAAACTGGAACCAAATTAATATAACACCAGAACTTGGATTAGCTTTGTAAGTGCTGCCTCAATGCATCTCTGTGCTGCTCTAACAGATCTGACCCAATGGACCGGCCAACCAGAACCAGAACCAGTTTGCTGAACACTGCACGGCTTTATTAATAATTTGGACATTTTCTGCTTTTAAAATTTTGCTTAGGGATGTTCAGGTCAGAACCTTTACTCAGCAGTTCAACAGTAACTATGCGGTAATAAACAGTAACTAAACAGTAATAAGTACTAAATTAACAGGAATTAGGTAATAAACTGCAATAATGAGCAGTGATAAACATGAGTGATTGGTCGCTTGCAGCGGGTTGCTAGATGTGGGCAGGGAAATACCTAATGGGCACAACATTGCCAAGGGCAGGTCCGGTGGAGCATCAAGGCTCCAAGACTCTGGACTTGTTCAGACTCCTCCAGACTCTGGTCTCTTCAGAACCAGGGTCTTGTTCAGAGTCTGGTTCCAGGTGTTAGCCGATCAGCTGCTTAAGAAGCTTTGCTGTGATAAGACTAGAGTTGCTCCGTCCACCGGAAGCAACGAAGCAACCATTGTTCAACTGATGGACAGAGACCCAGTTTTGTTTCAAGAACCAGAAAGGAGAAACTTTCTCCATAAAACAAGACAGACTTTGGTTTGGGCCGGCTCTAGAACAATAGCTGGGCATTCTGCCAGAACATGTGATTGCTGCGGCGTGTGGGGCATGCTGCGGCGAGGAGGCGGCCTGAGGAATGCAGCAACGTTCTGCCGGTCCTTGTTCAGACTCCCACACTTCTGCATGCCAACATTCCCTTTACATGCAGAGCTGCGTCTCTGACCGGACAATCTGCCCGTCGGCCTGCTAGTTACGGCAGCTAACCGCTCATTCTGCTGCAGAATTAGCATTAGCATGCTAACCGCTCATTCAGCTGCAGAATTTGCATTAGCATGCTAACCCCTCATTCAGCTGCAGAATTTGCATTAGCATGCTAACCGCTCATTCAGCTGCAGAATTTGCATTAGCATGCTATCCCCTCAGTCAGCTGCAGAATTGCATTAGCATGCTAACCACTCATTCTGCTGCAGAATTAGCATTAGCATGCTAACCCCTCATTCAGCTGCAGAATTAGCATTAGCATGCTAACCCTTCATTCAGCTTAATGGACCCCTTGAACAGTAACTTGGGTTCAAAGGTTACTTTTCTGTGACCAGTAGGCCTGGAATTTCATGGTTTTCATGGATGTGAAATCTATATGAAAAATGTATATAGGGTTAGGGTTAGCTGCATGCTAACAGGATGCTAACAGCTAACAGTGTTTTGGTGTCTGTTGAAAACCACATGCAGCTTCCTGACTCAGAATCCACCCTGTTAGATCAGCAAACATAAGGTCTTAAAATGAGATTCAGACACACAGACACCCAGAAAAGCAGAATCTGGAAAATCCAAACATCAAATTTTATTTTGAAATGATTTGTTTCTGTTTTCTTTTTTGCATGATTTTTTTTTGGAAAATCTTCACCAATGTTAAAAGATAGAAAAATGAAAACAATAAAACTCTTGTAGAAACTTATAAAGACAGAAAAATGATGCTTTTTCTTTATTCTTGGGGGCAGGGAGAGTTGAAACAGAATAAAACCAAGCACCTCTCATCCTGCAGGAGCAGCCAATCACAGCGCAGCGTCCTCCAGCTCCCATGATGCACCTCTCCCCATTAAGGCAGCCTTTGCCAGCCCATCACCATTTGCATGAACCGATCTGCATTTCCAGAGTGGGTCCTGAAGGAGCTGCTGGTCTCCATGGCAACAAAGGAGCTAAAGCTAACTGCTAGCAGCTTCAGGCCTCTGAAGATGGAGGCAGGTTCCGTCCTGGGTGAGCTGGTCCAGGTCAGAGGTCAGGCCCAGCTGACACCGTTGCGTATTGATGAACCTCAGAGGTGTGGATGACGGGTGTCTTTAAGGTGCCGATAAAACCTGCTTTTAGTTGAGTAGCAAACACCTAAATGTCTCGCTTGCTTCACTTCTAATGAACAGGATGAAATGGGGTTCTATGGAGCGCTTATGGGTACCAACTATATTACTTTACAGACTACAGCTAATGGCTAGAGATTTTAAAACAAGTCCAAACTAAATATTTTTATGAAGTTTTAGAAAATATGTAGTTTGCTGTAAATTGTTGTTACATGGAAACGTTCAGAAGAAAACTCTTCTTAAGCTGAAGACTCTCCTGTGATGAAGATAATAACCATTCATACACATTTCACGGAACCCTAGTCATAGAACATGAACTATCCCTTTAAGACCTTGGGGCTTCAGCTGTTAGCTTTGTCAGAGCATTAGCATTTTCAGCTAACAGTGTTAGCTTTACATAAAGAAGTGGAAGAAATGGGTGAGAATCATTTTTTATAAGACCGATGGAAACAAAATAAACCTAAGACCGAAGCTCCAGGCTGGATCCCCGATTTCCAGTTTTGGTGCTAAGATAAGCTAGGCTAGCATTTAGCGCTCACTAATCCCAGCTTCTCCAGTAATAGCTCTTCCTTTAGCAGGTGCAGAATGTTGTTTCTGGTACCAACAGGTTAAAGTGGGGATATAAGCACCTGGCAGACGATACGAAGCAGATGGCGTTTCCTGTAGGATCAAGTTTTCATCAAGCGGTGTAAAAATCTAGGTTTAGTGGTCATCTGTGCTCTCTCCCTTCCTGAGAGGTAGCAGCCCCGCCCCAACACTCCCTCCCCCCAAACCCCGTGTCCAACCGCGCCCCGTTCCCCGACCCGGTTCCCTCCACTGGACCTCCTCTACTCGGCCTGAGCGTCGTAGTTGGCGCCGCCGGCCTTCTTCAGCTCGGAGCACAAGTATTCCTCCTCCAGTTCCCGCGGCTCGCTGATCATGAACTCCTTGGCAAAGTTCTGCAGAGAACAGAGTTGCAGTTAAAAGGAACCACAGGGTGCCGACAAGCAGCTGGTTCAGTTGTGGGCCCGATTCCCCCGGTTCCTACCTGCACCACGTCCTTGACGAGCGTCTTGTCGGTGCTGATCTTGGCGCGCTGCAGGCCGCCGACGCGCTCGCCGATCCAGGTGATGAGCGTGAACTTGGCCCGCTTGCTCATGGCGTCGCCCGTCGTGAAGCGGACGAAGCCGAACAGAGGGATGTCATCTGGGGACGAGGAGAACGTGAGTGGTTCTGCAGAACTCTGACCCAACTAACACCAGTTGGCGATTCTGATTTGAACCACCAACTGGGTCCGGAAACATCAGAACCAGATTCTCATTCCTGATCTGGATCTGCCGTTCATTAAAACATAGTCCAGTTTATACAAAATGCAGCGTTACATTAAATCCAGATTATTTCAGCGCAACTCGGTCAGAGTCCGAGTTCAGCCGATCAGAATCTGGATCAGCATCATTGTAAACACAGACGATCCAGATTCAAAGCAGAATGAAGCTGGACTGGAGCCGGACACAGACCTGGTTCTGGTCCCGGACCAGAGCCAGTTATCTCCAGTCCTGCTCCTCCCCCACCTGTTGCTGAGGAGAGTGAAGCAGTGCCACCAGGAGTCTGATGGCGGTAGTGCAGGCTAACAGTGCAGCCATGTGGCTCCAGAACCAACAGAACAAGGCGGGCCGATCAACTGGACCCAGAGAAATCAGAACCTGGATACAAGGCAGCAGTTCTCAGCGGATCAGAATCCGGGTCAGAGCCTGAACTCACTGGAGGTTTTCTGTAGAAACAACTGAAATATCTGAAGCAGTTTGAGCTCAGAGGTTCTGACCCGGTCCAGTAAAAGCTTCCAAAACCTCCGTGAAACAGCAGAGCTGCTCTCAGACCAGCAGAATTACTGGATTGGGTCAGAACACCGAATCACCGGATCTGATCAGCTCGTTCATTATTCCTGTTTCTGTCACAGATTGAGGAACCAGAACCAACAGAACCAACAGAACCCAGCAGCTTGACCTGAAGCACTCCACCGCCTGTACTTCCTCAGGCACTTCCTGTTTCGTGGCCCCGCCCCTGACTGGAAGGAAGCAGCAGGGAGACGATGAGGCAGCAGAACCAGAACCAGGATAGAATCTCCTGACCGTTTCTATTAAAAAATTAAAAAGTCCCATTTTCTGCTGTTCCTTAAAGGCATCACAGCCAGGAACCGTTTTCCTTTTGTCAACTCACACAAACCAGAACCAGAACCTCCAAGAACCTGGACCTTCTCCAGCCTTGAGGCAAAGTTTCACATTTTGATTTTCAAATAAAAGAAAAACTGGAAAATTCAATCTAAGAAAAGAGCTGGAGGCTCGCCGGTCGGATTCTGGTACTGGTTCTGGAACCACGAAGTGGGTTTAACATCCCAGACCATTTGAGAAGGAACCTGCGCTGAGCTCAGCCGTCATCACTTCCTGCTCTGCTGTCATCACTTCCTGCTGCTCTCCAGGATCTGATTGGCTCCTCCCTCTCAGCGACTCGCTGCTAAATAAGGAGCTCGGAGACCCGAGAGCCGCTGAGCAGGAAGTGCTGCAGCAGAACCGGGCCGAGGCTGCAGCAGAACCTGGGCCGCCGCATCACGGTCACTGAACACCTGGCTCCCAGCTCCGCCTCACCTGTGCACAGCTGCTTGAAGTCCTGGTAGTCGGTCCCCACGCCCGCCGGGACGATGGTGGAGCCTTCGTACTTGAACGCAGCCCTGCAGGAACAGCAGCATGTCGTTACTGCACCGAACAACCGAATGTCACCAATCAGAGATCAGCTGGGTTCTGGTTCTGACTCCAGAACGGGTCCAGGTGATTGTCGGATTCCCCCCTCCTAGAATGGTTCCTGTGACGTCACAGCCTTCAGCTCCATGAATACAGAACAAAGTGAATTACTTCTGCCCCGCTGGGCCTCCCCAGCACCAGAACCGGGCCGCTGGCAGCCGGAACCGGACCGGAACCGGGAAGCTGCGTTAGGAGGTGAAGCAGCAGGTGCGCCTCTTTGTTTCTAATAAAATCTGTGAATTAATGAGGCAGAAACAAACCCGAGCTCCTCTAATCTGCAGCTTCAGAATCCGCTTTGTGTGAAAGAAGCTGCTCAGATTTAAACAGAAAAACCAATTTAAAGGTTTCGTCCTGATTACATGAAATAAAAACCGGACTAATCAGGGGTTTTACCAGCCGAAGAACTTCAAACTAGTCGATGGTTCCGATTCTGGCCCGTTTTATGTCTGTGACACGTTTTATTTAGAGAATAAAGAGTAAAATGTGTTTTTCTGAATGGACTCACCAGCTGGTCTCCGTGTTGTCGTCTCGAACTTGGTTGTAAGCTTCTCTGCAGGCCTCTTTATCGATCTGGGTCGTCATGGTTCTGGAGGAAAATACACCTAAATTGGACCGAACCGGGTTGAAACAGCAGCTGAGTGGAGAGGAGGATGCTGAGAGGAGGACGGGAGTGTGCGGGAGAAAAGAGTGGCGGTGCGGTGCGGGGCGCTGCGGGAGTCGTTGAGTTAACGGGACGAAGCGGCGCTTCTGCTAGAAAGTGGCTTCATTTCCTGGATGGGTCCACTTTATGGGCGTTGGTGCTGTTAGTCAACCAAGCTGCAGGCAGGAGACGCGATCACCTCCTCCTTCTGGCCGCTCGGCGTCTCCAGGGGCGCTGTCAAGCTGCGCCAACACGCAAACACAGCTTCCGGGACCGACTCTTCAAAATAAAGTCCACAGGCAGAGGAAATCTGGAGAGACTGACTCAAAAAAGACTCGGGTTTATTAACAATTTCGATCTGAGCTGAATATTTGACTGATGATTATGATTACACTAAAATGAAAAACATTTTGAATATTATTTGGTTATCTGGTTCTTATTTGCAATGTTGCCATAAAGAAGAAGAAAAAGCTCCCAGCTCTTCAACAATATCCTGATTATTCATCAAAAAGCTGAATGTGAACAGTTTTAACTCAACTTCATGTTTATGATGAAATCCACAAAGACAGACTGTGAAACTAACAGTCCACAGAAACTTAATGGAAATAATAACACAAGTATTAAGACTCCAGCATTATTTACAACAGCTGACAGAACCACAAAGATGGCCTGCTATCAATTACTTCACAGGGAAAATTACATTAATCTGCACATCTACACCAACCCAACATCCACGTCTCATCAAGAGACTCACCATCCGTCCGTCCAGACAGACTGCAGAATGTCCCATCTATGTGAAAACTCTGGAAATTTTAAATATGGCCTCATGTAAATAAAATAAATAATAAATCCTCCATCTTTTATTCTGAAGGGTGAATGAATCATTTCCGGTTCCGGCTTCACTATATCGGATTTGATTTGATTTATTCCGGTTTCAATGAATCAAATTCTGAATATTTAATAAAAGCCGCTCTGGTCACAGTTTCTGCTTGTCATTGATTGTTAATTATTAGTAAAAATAAGCGGTTGATTTCAGGCTGAAAGCCTCATGCAGCAGGAAGTTCTGCTTCCGTTCTCCATCACTGCCACCTGCTGTGTGGGAGCAGCAGCGGCAGCATTCTGCCCCCTGCTGGTGACTCCGGTGTCTGCAGCTCTGATTCTGACAAAGCTGACACAAAACCACTTCAGTTGATGTAAAACTCAAAAATCTCAAACAGAAATTACAAAAAGGTATGTAAACAGATGAATAAAATGTGCTTTTGTTTAATTTTGAGTTTAGGTTCAAATGACATGACTTTGATGCATAAATCAGGATAAATTATTTTGTTATTTTCTGTTTCATTCAACATTTTGGAACAGAAATCTCCAGCTTCATATTTTAATTTTAATGGTTCAAAAAATAATAATTTAGATTTAGAAGATGGAATTGAGATGTTGCCATAATTCAGATCATTCAAATATCTTTAAAGAGTCGTGGAAGGTGATGTTGTGGGTAGGAAGAATCTAGCAGTCAGTCTCACAACGTATCTGAAGAGGCCCCTGACTGAAGACTGTTGCTATATGCCAGTCTCATGACTGTCATGACTCATTAACAGCTCAACATCCATCCATCCATCCATTTTCTGAACACCCTTGTCCCTCAGTGGGGTCGGGAGGTGCTGGTGCCTATCTCCAGCTAACGTTCCGGGCGAGAGGCGGGGTACATCCTGGACAGGTCGCCAGTCTGTCGCAGGGCAACACAGACACACAACCATGCGCAGCTCAACATCAATAGTTCAAATATTATCTAAGCTTTTGAGATGCTAATCTGCTGCTAACGATTATAAAAAAAGAAGAAAAATATTTTATTTTATTGACACCAGGAGGTCTGACAGGAAGTTGACCCGCTGACCTTCTGACACAGCCCTTCAGTCAATCTGAGGTCAGAGGTCAGAGGTCAGGAAGTCACTAATCCAAGTTAACGTACCAGATAGGACAGCTGGTTCTGGTTCTCTGGTTCTGGTTCCGTCTCTCCAGTGGGGATCAGAAAGAGTCATGGTGCGGAATCATTTCTAAAACTTAAATATTTATCATCATGTTAAAAGTAGTACATTTTGTTGAAGTTATGAGAAATATATGTTTAAAGTTCTAGCAGATTCTCATAAAAGTGAGTTTTTCATGTTTTTAATTCATTTAAAAAATCATGAATGAGAGTTTTAATTTCTAATGAGGGTTTTATTTTATAGTGATAAAGTGTTGAGATGCTGGATGGAATGAATAATCACGATAAAGGTCATGTGGAAATATCAATAATAAAACTCATAAATCTGATGACATGAGGAAGTGACGTCAGACTGATGAAAACCGCAAATAACCTGTTGACTTGTTTACCTGAAAGGCCCGGTCCCAGCGCTCAGCGCCCTGCGCCTCTGTGAAGCGTGGACTCAAAGTCACATCAGGGTTCAGGGACAGATCGACCCTGGGTCGTAACTTCACATCCAAAATGGCGGCACTGGTCACTGTTTAGGCATTTTGCTGCCAAAATGTACAACTACAACAAAACAGATTATTTTAAATGTACAGTAAAGGTATTTCTGCTTTCCCAAGTCATTGTTGGAGATATGTTTAGTTATGACTTGTTGAATACAGAATATTCTATGTAATCACTCATGTTCAGTGAGACAAAAAGTTATTTCAGTACTTTTGAAAACTGTTTTTATTCTTGTTTGTTGCGACAGCTCGCTCTGTGAACTTTGCCATATTTCCAAGATGGCAAAAAATACACATTAAAATGTTCTAATATTCAATTTATCAGTCTGTCATTTGACTAATAGAGACATGAGTTTTACTCATAAAACCATCTGTTTTATGCAGCTAATAGCTTGGTATAAAGTGGAGCTAATAACAAAGATCAAAATAAGGACAAACATAAGGCATATATGAAAATTTAAAAGAAAGGCCTGATGCTACATTGTGAAAAATATAAAGACTAGTGGAACTAAAATGTTCTTTTTAAAAGAAACTATGAATGTTGTGACTTTATGAACCAAATATGTAACAATAATTCATCAGGAGCTCCGACATCAGTTTTCTCCTGTAGTCTGAGAAGAAAACATTTGTTTAAAAATCATGATGATAATAAGAACCAAACAGCTTTTTATTCCAGCCCCACAAAAATGTAAGATATGAATAAAGATATTGATTTCATAATTATGTGTAACGTTTTCCCTATAATGACTTTCTGTAAAAGAAATTCAAAATAAATATCAATTCCTGGTTTTTGTGACTGACATTTTGAGATAATAAACCTTTTTTTCAGTTGAGAATTAAAGATTTTTAGAAAGATTTCAAAAAGTGGATATTACACAAAAAATCTATTCTATATTTAAGTTTTAATATAATACAATTTGGTCGTCTAACAGGGATGAGGAGTTAAATAAGTATATAATTAATCCTAAGTTTTATTCACAAATACTGCTTTCTAAAAATCACCTCCAAGTGAAATAATTTTATTTTAGAGAGTCCTTAAACGTTGCAACGTCACAAAAGCCCAATCTTTACACCAATATGTTAATATCTTAATTTAGGATTTGAAATTTGTCTTGCATTTGTGACATTTTGTTTTAGTTTCCAAACTTTTTTATTACTAATCTGTCTTGTCATGTTATTGTCTTTGAACTTTCTATTAAGACTCGAACAAAACATTGCCATAAATCCGCCTTTTAACTCAAAACGTCACATGCAGCAATGAATTGTGGGTAATGCAGTTCGCCATCGTTTTTAAGTCTTGTTAACATTTCTAGTCTTGAACGCTCACAAAAAAGACAAAGCTTCCGGTTGAAATATTTGATTTAGAAATAAGAGACAGGAGAAAACGTTAAGATTTCTTTCACAAAATAAATATTTTTTCTCGTCTTGTCGTCACGTGTGTAGCAACGTTTTACTCTGAATTGAATTATTTTTTAGTTTTATGTTTTGATACCCTGTGGGCTGTAGTACAGACCATAGACTGAAGGGGGCCAAAGATGGACGCTGCCTAGATCACCATGGCAACAGACTTTGTGAAGAGAAAGAAAACAAAAAACAAAAAAAAAAACACAAATTTTCTTAGGACCTTATTTTGAAAGCCCTTAACGGAAGTTAACAGTAGAGATAAGCTGACACGAAAACTAGCAGCGGGTTTCCTGCTCGGCTCAAAAAGAAAATGTCCCGCTTCCCGGTGTGTCCCCGCCGCAGGTAAGGACTCTGTCTCCTCCTTGGTCGCTGTTGAGTGTCTCCGTCCGTCTCTCAGTGTCTCCGTCCGTCTCTGTCTGTGTCTCCCAGGTGATCGTCATGGACGGACCAGACCATCCGGGTCGGTTCTGCCGGGTCAGCGAACCATCGCAGGTGAGAGCAGCTCAGCTGCAGCAGATGCTGGGGCGTTTCCTGGTTTTGACTGTTGCATTCTGGGTAATGTAGTTATCCAGTCTCCTCTGGTGTTTTCATGTCATCAGCTCATCATAACTCCATCTTCTCCACCACCGAGTGCAGCTGAGTAGTGTTGGTTGCCATGCCAACGGCCGGTTCCTGACCCTACCCTGTCTGACCCGGTTCTGTCTGAGCCGGTTCCACCAGAACCAGTGCAGCAGCCCCAGGTTCTAATGGGCCTCTGCCTCCCTGCAGACATTCCGCTTCCCGGGCCAGGCGCTGGAGGTTCTGCGGGGATTCAGCGATCAGCGCCAGCAGACCCGGTTCTGTGACGTGGTTCTGGTGGCGGCGGGCCGGCGGTTCCAGGCCCATCGGGCCGTGCTGGCCATCTGCAGCCCCTACTTCCAGGCCATGTTCACCCTGGGCATGAGGGAGGAGCTCCAGCCGGAGGTAGGACAAAACTATTCACACCGTGGAAACACTCAGATTCTGATGGGACCAGATGGTTCTGATCGGACCTTTGCCCTCTGTGAGTCCAGAGACAAAAATCATTTCTTTACAGCAGAACCAAACAGACGTGTCCTAGTCAAAGCTTTATTAATCAGTTCTTAACTGGTGGGGCGTCTCTGGTGGACATGTCCCAGGTGCAGATAGTGGGGGTGTCCTCTGTGGGTCTGGAGGCGGTTCTGGACTTCCTGTACAGCGGACAGCTGCAGCTGGACGGAGGAAATGTCGACGACGTGCTGGAGGCCGCGCACCTGCTGCAGGTGAGATGCTGCCAGGGGACTGGGACCAAAACCAGGACCTGGACCATAGTCAGTGGACGTGGCCTATTCAAAGCTCAGACTTCGTTAGGCGTCACTGGAGTGAAATCTCCTAGTTTGATCCAGCAGCTGTTTCTCACCACCAGAATGTTCTGGTTCTGGTTCTGCAGCTGTGGCGAGCCGTGGATTTCTGCTGCCAGTACCTGGAGCAGCAGGTGAGCGAGGAGAACTACCTGGACCTGCAGCAGGTGGCCCGGTTCTACAGCCTGGAGCGGCTGGACAGCTTCATCGATCGCTGGGTTCTGGCCCGGTTCTCCAAGCTCCGCCTCACTCCAGACTTCCTCCAGAACCTTCCGCTGCACAAGCTGACCTCCTATCTGTCCAGCAGCCAGGTAAGACTCGTGAGCCTCAGATTCAAAAGCTGGACGCCGGTTCTGGAGCCTCTGGTTCTGCCTCAGGTCCAGTATGACAGCGAGCAGAACCTCCTGCAGGCCGCTCTGCAGTGGCTGGGCCAGAACCCGGACCGGACTCCCCACGCCAACCAGCTGCTGGCCCACATCCGGTTCCCTCTGATGCCGGCTGGAGATCTGGTGGGACGGGTTCTTCCGGCGATCCGGGCCCAGTTGCCCGACGGAACCGGCTGCCAGCAGCTGGTGGAGGAGGCGTTGCGGTACCAGGCCCGGCCCAGCGCCCAGCCGCTGCTGCAGACGGACCGAACCGCGCTGAGGGGCGGGGCGGAGAGGCTGATGCTGATTGGTGGAGAGGTACTGCCGCTTTCTTCCAGACCAACCTGAAACATGAGGTCAAAGGTTAACACCGGCCCGGTCTGCGTCTCTCTGAGGTGGGTGAGCGCGGCCAGGAGCTGAGCGGCAGCGTGTGGCGACTGGACGGCGAGTCGGTCCGCTGGGAGCTGCAGGGGCAGCTGCCTGCGCCGCGCAGCCACCACTGCCTGGCGGTTCTCGGAGGTTTCATCTATGCCGCGGGCGGCAGCGCCTCCAGGGACAACGGCGGAGACGCCGCCTGCAACCGGCTGCACCGCTACGACCCGCGCCTCGAACAGTGGACCGAGGTCAGAGGAAGTCCCGCCTCTTTCCCGCTCAGAGCTTCTTGTGGTGACCAGCCTGTCTCCTAGGGGGCGCCGATGAAACAGCGACGGGTCGACTTCTACCTGGCAGCCGTTGGCGAGTCACTGATCGCCGTGGGGGGCAGGAATGCCAGCGGGGCGTTGGCGTCCGTCGAGTTCTACCGCCCTGCCGAGGACCGCTGGGCCTATGGACCGCCGCTGCCCAGGTAGGGACCCCACTAGTGGGCAGGGCGCTTTTCCACTAGCCCGCCTCTAACCAGTCCGATCCCGGTTTCGCAGTTCAGGTGTTCTGCTTGGCTGTTTTAAAATTGTCGTACTGACTTCAGGGTTAGAATCACATACATAAATACGTAGACGCCTCATGGAGCGGGCCGGCCCGTTGCTGCGATACGTCTCAGCGTCCGCCATATTGAATG